CACTAGCATGGGTAAGCTGTTGTTAGCATCAGAAAAGCTAAAAACTAGCATGGATAAGCTGGTGTTAGCATTGGAGGAGCTAGCTACTAGCATGGATGAGCTGGTGTTAGCGTTGGAGGAGCTAGCAACTAGCATGGATAATATGGCATTAGCATCAGAGAAGCTGAAGACTATCATGGATAAGATGGTGTTAGCATTGGAGGAGCTAGCAACTAGCATGGGTAAGCTGTGTTAGCATTGAAGGAGCTAGCAACTAGCATGGGTAAGCTGGTGTTAGCATTGGAGGAGCTAGCAACTAGCATGGGTAAGCTGGTGTTAGCATCAGAAAAGCTAAGAATTAGCATGGATAAGCTGGTGTTAGCATTGGAGGAGCTAGCAACTAGCATGGATAAGCTGGTGTTAGCATTGGAGGAGCTAGCCACTAGCATGGGTAAGCTGGCGTTAGCATCAGAAAAGCTAAAAACTAGCATGGATAAGCTGGTGTTAGCATTGGAGGAGCTAGAAACTAGCATGGATAAGCTAATGTTAGCATCAGAGAAGCTAAAGACTAGCATGGATAAGCTGGTGTTAGCATTGGAGGAGCTGGAAACTAGCACGGATAAGCTAACGTTAGCATCAGAGAAGCTAAAGACTAGCATGGATAAGCTGGTGTTAGCATTGGAGGAGCTAGCAACTAGCACGGATAAGCACAAGAAAACCCGTATCTTCTACTCGAGGCCCCAGGTTTCCCTGTCACTGTCCGGTCTTTGTGTTTTCTCTTTCTGATTGTCTCCTTTTTGCTGAGATTCTGCTGTAAAACCACTCACTTTTTCATGTGGGCTTTGCTGGATGAATCTTGAACATTCAGCTGTCCCCTGACGTTGATGAAGAAGCTTTCAGCAGACATTTGGAGAGATCTGAAGGTTTGCAGACTGGTTCAGTACCTGGAACTCTGCTGGGTCATTTATCATCATCCACCTGAAGAGCTGAGGGAATCTGAGGAACTTCATGTCAAAAGTCTGAAAGAAGACAGACTTTCTGTGCAAAGTGAGGAAAGAAACTTTTAAAATGAGGAAGAGAAACGTTTTGGTTTGCGTTAGGGGGGCAGAGGAGGTATTTTTAGATACTAAAATGTGTTTAGGAAGACCTATTACGACACGTACGGATGGGGGATATTGGATTTGTTCAAGTCTGGACTTTATATTGATGCTGAGTGTGTTTTAGAGGTTGTCATGACTTCCACTGTAGGTTGAGTACAAACCATTCAATGTGTGTGAAATGTCTGGTTTTATTATCAATTGTAGTTTAAAAAGCCAAACCAAGGTTTACATGAGTGAGCCTTTGGTTGGACAACCTCTGTAGAAATAATACCCTACCCTACCCTACCCTACCCTACCCTAGCCATCGTATGTTAGATGAGTTTAAAAAAACAAAAGGGTCCTTGGGCTAATTTGCAAGCTAGCAGAAATAATAAGTAGGAAGATAACGTTATTTTGCACTGGCTGTTATGGATACTTTCAGGGCGAGAAAGGGATGTTTGAAATTTTTAGTCTTACGATGCAGGTGAATTTGGGAAGAAGTTTTCTTTAGGGGGACCATCTTGGTCTCTGGGCCACAAGGGGTGTTGAGGAGATCAGGAGGTTCACTATATTACCATACCCACTTTTATTTATAAACAGAACAAGACCAACCAAAGTACTGTACAAGATAACAGACACATCAAGGACATAGCATAAATGACGCTACTTTTCAAATACAAAGCAGTTTCAGATGTCAGCCAGGCAGTCAAGAAGAGGTTGCATGGAGTGTGGACCAGCCTGCTTCAGAGGAAAGTAAATTTGACAATCGTCCACATAAAAATGAAACGGTATACTATGTTTCCGGAAAATTGCACTTGGTGGCAGCAGGCATATGGAAAAGAAAAGTGTCCCAGAATAGAGCCTTGTGGTACTACCCATACATATATAATGGTGGTATTGTTTTAACATGAAACGTTTAACCTACTCATCTTCTTTTAGATTTTTCTACGTGGATTATTGAAGTGCATGAGGATGACATGACACATTGTTTTCTGGGTTGTTCTTGTCAAGTAAATTTAAACGAATAAGTGTTTTTCTTATGTGAACATAGTGTTTGGTTAACGGCAAGTGACACCATCAGGTCTGTTCTACACAACCTTGTTCTGCCTCAAACATAAAAACACATATATTTGTGTGTTTGGCCAACACAACACAAACGAGCTACATCTAATGGCCAGAACTCTGCAGTTTTCACTCATTTACAGGCCAGCGGTCACTCTTTCAGAGATGAGGATGTTCTCATTCTTGATAGAGAGGAACGTTGGTTTGAGAGAGGAGTAAAAGAAGACATTTTTGTGAAGAAAGACCGTCCATCATTAAACAGAGGTGGAGGCCTCCGTTTTCAGTTGTCCCCCTCCTACAGTGCTGCTATTGCCAGTATCACTCCACCCCCTGTTAACAATAGGTGTTAATTAGGTGTCAATGATAGCCATGTGATGTGAGTATCAGTCACATGGAGGCAGGACTCAAAAGCCTGAATTTTGCCTGAAACTCTCAGACTGAAGAAGTCTCTTGGAGGAGAGACGAAACGTTTCATTAAAGAAGAACCCGTCCAGAAGACCTATACTATTTTTTTCTTTTTGACATATATTTGTTGTCATGGTCCATATTGTGTCCTCAACATTAAACAGTGTTTTCATGAACTAGGAGTCCCCAAATGGTGGATTGTGGTTCAGAGGCAAACCTAAATGAAGTTCCTGCTGGACCCATTGTCCTAAGGTTTTACAGAGGTCTTTTAATCACTCATTTATCCACATCAGGTGGGCGCGTTGAAGCAGACAAATATCTAAAACATGCAAAATATGCACCCTTGAAGCTTACTGGACACCACTGGTTTAGACATGTTAACTAAAAAAACACATTATTATGAGTTGTTCTCAGGCTCGGTGTGTAAAATATCCATCTCAAACTCAGAACTGTCATGATTTGTGGAGGATTTGGAGATTCTAGTGGCAGAAAGCTGATGTCATGGCTGCAGAGCAGACTTGAGCTGCTGTGAGAAACACAAAGGAGAACTGAGGAACGAACTGAAGGACACAGAATATTAAGGATAACTAATGAGCATAAATCACAAACACCTGGGGAACAGACAAGTGCAAACAGGTGAAAGTGGGCGGGGCAGACCTGAGAGGACAAACACTGGAATGAAAAACAGAAATAAACATAAATCAACCCAAAATGATAAATACTAACAAAACACAGATCCTTTGCTGATGTCCGGGTTTATTCTGAGAAACAGCCCTGAATGTGCTGAACTAACCACACTGATTAAAACCATTTTAATGACATTAGCATTGTTTAAAGAAATGCATATCACCCTCTGCCATTTTTCCCAAACTTTTAGACTAAGATCATCTTGTGCTAGACTTTTATTCATTTTAGCAAAATGTTACGTTCTCACTCTGTATCACAAGATGTGAAGGATTCTCAGCTTCTATCACTTCAAATTTAAGCTCAAAATAGTCTACAATACAGTCTTGATTGTGTTGGATTATGTCCACWAGTTGTGTCGGCCATCTCGAATTAAATAGATGCCTTAAGACAAATTATAGATGTAGAGATATGAAGAAATTTGTTGCTCCTCTTCAAGTTATGCTAACGTAGTGTAAGTAGATTTGTTGGTTCGCTTAAAGAAATTACGATGGGAACTTCAACCGTTTCCCAAAGTCGTCTGGTAACTGCCAGTCCCTTGTTGTAGGAAGGAGCCCACTTTGAATCTTATCTGGGGGGTTTGATCTTCTCACCTACTGGAACAAAGGTGATGATACACCCCGAGTGGGTTTTGCTGCTTGCTGTAGTTGATGCCAGTGCAGATCCCCGATCACACACAGAACCTGGTCAAGACGCCAATGATAACGACCATCTCTCAAGGCCTTAGAGCAGCATTTGAGGATATGCTCTAAAGATCCCCTCTTCTGGCAGAGTTTGAAAGCAGGTTAACAAGTTGCGGGGGCTCGGGAGAACGCCGTAATGCCACACCCCGACTGGACCAAGAACTTGAAGTGGTATGGCTCCTGTATGCTCCCACATAGTCCATCTCCCATGCTTGGATGTGCCTGCCTTTCTAATAAAACAAGCTTAGAGTTACCGGTTAGACCAACATTCATGTTTCTGGTCTGTGGGAGGTAACCAGAGTACCCCAAACCCATGCATGCACACAGAGAACATGCAAACTCTACCCACGAAGGTGACTGACTGGGAGCCACTGTGCTGCCTTATTCAGTAGAAAATTATGTGTTTTTATTGGAAAATACAGTATGTGTGTATATTGTTAAATAGTTTGAAAAGAGCAAAAGTTATATAAAAATCATAGTACCCATCTCCTAAATAAGTTTTGATGTATCAATGTTTAAAATATTACAAAGTCTGCAACATAAATGAGAAAATGCATGAAGTTTTGAGGTTCTAACCCAATATTTAGGAGGTCCCTGCGTGTTCTCAGTGCTGTAGGATTCAGAAAAATGTAAAGTGTTTTGTTGAACTGAAGAGTTGTGGAAGAGAGTGAGAGGACAATGTGGACCTGAGAGACAGTTTGTGTTGTAGGTCTGTGTCATGGAGACAGAAATATTCTAAACTTTACTGTAATTTAAACAAACAGAAGAGAAAAAAGTCAGACAGCAGATAAGATTCAGTTTGTTTCTACGTTATCACATCGTCCAAACCAGGAGACTGAGGAGCTCCAGAGACCAGGCAGAATAAATATCTCCCACTTCTGCAGGAGATGGAGACACTTTCTTTGTTTTTATTTATTTTTGTTCAGTTAAAAACAATCCTAGAGTAGGAGAGTAGGAGCAAATCTAAGAAATTTTTAGCACTGAAGTCTAAGTTTTATAAATACGGGCCCTGATCTAACTAAACATTTGTGGCAGGAACACTGAACTGTGATTGAAAACAGAAGAATACCAACTTATTTGTTGATTTAAAAGGATGTTTTTGCTCCTCAGACGGCTCAGACCATCCTCCTTGTCGTCACGGCCTTCACCATCTGCTGGATGCCTCATCACATCATCGCCATGTGGGTGGAGCTTGGCACCTTCCCGCTGAACGACGCCTCCTTCGCCTTCCGCATCGTCTCCCACTGCCTGTCCTACGGAAACTCCTGCGTCAACCCCGTCCTCTACGCCTTCCTGTCGGAGAATTTCCGCAACGCGTGCCGTCAGGTCTTCGCCCGCCACCTTCTGTACCCGCCTCCGTCCAAAGGGAAGGTGGTACGCTTCCGCATGGACAACTTCTCCACCACACACTCCACAACCAACATCTGAAGGAGGGGAGGGTTAGGTGTGGGAGACGCCACGAGGTCTGTCAAAGGAAACTGTAGGGAAACCTGATTCTGTGCAGACCTGGAGGGTCTAGATGACCGTCACATGACAACAGGACCGAGTGTGATTGGCTGCTCTTGGAAAACGGCAAACAAGATGAAGGTTATTAACCCTCAATTTGTTTTACTGACTTTGTTCAGTGTTTTTACTGCTTTCAAATATTGGCTTCTTCAACCAATAATGGACAGAAACTGAACAATTCTTCATTTTTTATGGATGTTTAAAACTGATCATCTGTTTACTAAGTTATAGTTCAGAACCTGCATGCCGAAGTCTGTAATCTGTATCCAGTATTTCTGGAACCAGTGTGGTTTTCTGTTGTCTGTTTTATTTTTCATTAGTGAACTGCTTTCATTTGTCCAGAGCTGTAATTATCAGAAACTGATTTGTTTTATTCTCCAGCACAAAGCACTTTATAAAAAACAATGTTAAGATTAGAGTTAATGATGCAACCCTCAGAACAGACAAATGAAATATGCTGGACTCCGTTAGGTGTTAGTGTACTTCAGATTGGGCACTTGAGTCCTGAGTTAAAACTTAAACATTACACACTGACTAAAAACACATTTCTGTTATTTAAACAAGGTGACCCTCCTTCCTTATTGGCCTACAGAGCCTCTGACTGGATCAAAGCAGATAAACAGCAGGATATTTACTGTTGCAAATTTTTAAAATAAATACAAAATAAGTAAGATTTTCTTTAAATTTGTATAATTTTTAACATAGAACTGAAACTTTTCACTCGAAATATAAACTGTAACACATCCACTGGAGTATTGATACTAGTATAGTGTCAGTACTGGTATTAGTATTGATTACGAGTATTGGGGCATTTTGAGTACTTGTAAAAATGCTGATATTGGTATCAGGCTAATTTAGCTCCACCAATATTTGAACACTAAAGCAGGTTTTTTTTATCTGTTTACTGAAGCAGATTGCATTTATAGATTTATGATGAGGATGTGCTAAAATTAAACAACTTGTTCATTTAAAATAAGATGGATCAAATTCTTTAGTATAGTCTATCACAGGACACTGTGCTGTAGCAAACCAAACTGTAGCACAACATACAACATATTGTACAGTACAACATATCACAATGTACCATACCATACTTTAACATACCACACCACACCATACCATACCATACCATACCATACCATATCGTACCTTAACAAACCAAACCGTATCGTACCATATACCGTACCATACCTTACCAAACCAAACCAAACCAAACCATACCATACCATACCATACCGTACCGTACCTTACCATATCGTACCTTACCAAACCAAGCCAAAACAAGCCAAACCAAACCAAACCAAACCAAACCAAACCATACCGTACTGTACCTTACCATACCATACCATACTGTACTGTAATGTACAATAACACAACTCCAACCAACAACTGATGTGGTGAATGATGTTTCTGCAGTCGTCCATCTTGGAGATGAAACACACCAGAGGTTAGTTTTTGCTGACACATTGTCCCATCCCTTCTGCTGCTGCTAAACACACCATTTAGTATTTAGGGTTGGTGGTGTTATGTGACGCTGTGTAATTTATTTCAAATGAGCTTCTGATTGTACTGTCCTCTGTTTCCAGACCTGATTGGCTGGTGAAACTTTTTAAACAAAAAGCCATGGGATGAGCTGAGTTTGACCGGAAAAAACGTGCAACCATGAATTTCTGTCTGCTCCAAACATTTTATTGGTGGTAAAAGACCCAACACTGGACCACCCTAAGTCACATGTGTCAAACTTCAAGGCCCACGGGCCAAATGTGGCCCTCCAAAGCCTTTATGTGCCCCAACCACAAGAGCATCAAATATGTATTAACATCTTTAAGCATACAATGCTTTAAAGCCAGCATTGACCATAAACTATGGTTTATGGTCAAAGCCTCTATTTATTATAATGTTGCATTGACTGTGGACTCCAGAAAACCCTGTGGACTCCAGAAAACCCTGTGGACTCCAGAAAACCCTGTAGACTCCAGAAAACCCCGTGGACCAACAGCAGCAGGTGCCATGACACTCCAAATCACCACTGACTTTCCTCTGGACTTGAACAATGTGGACTCTGTGCCTCTTCTCTTCCTCCAGACTCACAGATTGATTTCCAAATGACTTTCATCTGAAAAGAGGACATTGGACCTCTGAGCAACAGRCCAGTTCTTTGTCTCCTCAGCTCAGGTAAGTTCAGCTCAGGTAAGTTCTGCTCAGGTGGCTCAGTGGTCATGGTGGTGCTGTGCTTGACTGAACAGCAAACTCACCTGATCTGAACCTCATAGAGGATCTATTGTCAAGAGGAAAGTGAAACACCAGACCCAACCATGCAGCAGTAACATAAAAGTGAAGTTAAARAAGTAGACGAATGCACCCACAACATGGATTTAAGGAAGTGATTTGTTCTGTTTTGCAGAGACTGACATAAAGGACTTGAGGGTAGACAGAGCTGTGGAAGTTTGTAAGAAGTAAGTCAGTAAATTCTCACATGGCTGAAAAAGCAAAGAGTTCTCAAGCACAAAATCACTATCTGGTTAATATGAGGCATAAAACCACTATCTGGTTAATTTGAGGCAATAAAAATCCGGTTAAAGACCCCGCCCTCCAAAGGTTATGTATTGTGGCCTCCCAATAGGGCAATGGGTAGAGTGTCGAAAGACCATGGTTCGAGACCGACACGGGCACAAATAATTTCTTAAAATARKTTTTGGTTATTTACACATTCATTGTCATTGATATATTAACCCACTAGGGGCCACTGTCGGGACAGTCTGAAGCCTGGAKGGCACAGTAGGGACCCTCTGAAGCCATTGTATGGGACTGATAACGCCTAATAACGTCCATTTCATGGACTGATAACATCAGAATCCCCTGAACTGGTGATGTCATACCTGAAGCATGTTCTTCACCTTTTAATTAGTGATCTACTGGAACAAAAAGATGAAGACACAGAGCTCACAGAGACCATCAACACATCCACAAAGGAGTACTCTGATGATCCTGAGATTAACAAGCTGATCTTCATGGCTTRGTTTCTTGACTCTTGCTTTTTGAGCTTGAGTCAGGAAGAGAGCCATCAAATCCAGTGATCAGAGAAATGCAAARGTATCTCTCCTCCCTGCTGCCACCTCAGTTTGTGTCTGAGGAGATGAACCGGCCCTCCATCCAACAAACTGAAGAAAGCTGAGGCTGAACTCAACAGATGGTTGCATGATGGAATGTGCACAGGGTGGAATAACCATTTGGACAAAAGTATTTACATACCTGCTACAAGCACAGCCTCAGAGCTGGTTTTTAGTGAGAAACTATTGTCAAACAGAAACATCAGCAACTCTTCCTCCAACAGGAGGCTCAGCTTTAGTCAAACACCATGAAGGAACAGAGGAGATGTTGTTGTAATGATTGTGTTTGTGTTATTTGACCCTTGGTTTCTTTTTTGTTTCTTTTTTGTAATTCTAGTTAGTCATGTTTTCAGCTGTGTGGTTTTTCTCTGCTTTCACCTCCAGTAATCTCCCAGGTGTTGCTTATCTCCTCGTTCCCTCAGGGTCTGTTCACCTGCCTCCTGTCACCACTTCCCCAGCTTCATTTATGGTTTTAGCCAGCAGCAGCCTGTCATCTCCTCTYTGGGGCGCCGTTTACGTTACACTGCCAAAAATTACCAGCAATATTTAGCTTTAGTTAGCCTTTCATAAGAAAAAAATAGGGGGGCATTTTAAAACTAAATATTTAGCTAAATATTTAGCTTGCTAAGTAAATATTTAATTTGCAAGTTAAATATTTAGTTTAACTTGTGCTTTACAATTAGCTTCCACTGATTTTTCTATGGCATAAGCGTTTTTGAAGTTTCAGACCTAAATATTTTCATAAGCGCTTTAGAAATTGCGGAGCTAATTTTTGMATTAGTGCTGCCCACCACTGCTAACAGCATGGTGTAAATTGGTCTAAAGCCGTGTTCTCGTCTCCACCTGTTTACAGCTTGTGTTGCTGATAAACAGCTTGTTTCTAAAACCTGTGCAGCCTGTTGCACAAACCCAGAGCAGAACCATCACAGAGGAGTGAAGATCAGCTGACCTCTGACCTCATCAATAAAAACCCAACATGATCTCATTTATTCAGTGGGTTGTTTCCTGAAGTTACTTTGAACATTTAGCTRCATCTAGAGGTCAGTAAGTAGATCTCATCTGTCTGAGTCAGCTTTTTAAATAACCTGATAAAAAGTTTACAGAACAAAGAGAAAATTATAAAGATAATTAAGGAGTTACTGTAGGATTTTTAAAAACCTAAATGAAAGGAGTTGTTCAGTGGTGTCAGKCAAGCATTCAGATCATGTGACAGATTTATGTCTCCTCACTGCTCACTGTTCTCACAGCTGGATATTTTGGATGAGCAGGTGGTATTTTGTGTGGTGAGGTAGTAAATACGCAGCCCGCCGGTCTTTGTTGATACTGACACATATGGGGTGCCGTGTGTAAAGTTACACAGTCAAATATTACCACCAATATTTTTGTTTTATTTAGCCTTTTATAGGAAAAAGAAGAACAGATTTATTTTTCAAAGTCAGTTTTTCACCATATGAGTCATACATTTGTATAAATGTATGAAATAAATGCTGAATATTTAACTTGCTAGCTAAATATTTAAGTGAAATATTTAGGTGGCTAGCTAAATATTTAAG